GTTTTCCTGCAGGGGAGCAGCAGCGACTCACGCAGAGCCTGGGGGGGGGGACGCGGCTGGGGCTGCCGTGTCCTTGGGGACAGGGCAATGTCCCACCGGGGACCCACTCCAGAAAAGGCGCGACCTCTGAGCACGCTGTGCGGTGGCACCTCCGCCGGGCTCGCGGCCAGCAGCGTTGGCTGTCGGTGCCGCTGGAGTTGCGTTTCCATATACAGTCACCGGCGAGCCTCTTGCCTGGTGTTAGTGAAAAATCGTGATTTCCCTGATTAAATTCAAGGAGGTGACTCCCAGACCTAGATTAGCAGCCCAGCACCAGGGAGCGGGAGCATGAGAGCAGGGCTCAGGTCCAGGCGTACCCCAGAGTGCCAGGGGGGTCTGTGCGTGGTGCTTGGCCCCAGCATCCCTGCAAGCAGATGGAGCTGTGAGTGATGGTTGTACAAAGTGTACGAAGCACTTTTTGGCTCATCCTCCCCCCAGCCTCAGCATACGTGCTTCCTCTGCCGGCATTAATCCCACCCGGCATTGCAGGGCAGGCGCCTGGGAGATTCGGGCCCCTCCTGTGAGGCTATTGTGCCTCCTCTGTAGGGTTGGGGCATCCCGAGTGTCTGCAAAGGTTCTTCCAGCTGGGTTCAGCCCTGCTGGCATCCCAGGGGCTGGGCTGGGTATCACAGGGGGGCGATCTGCAGGGTTTGCTCAGCTCCACCAGTGACCTTTACGCCCTTCAGCAGCATGGTTTTTGCCGTCCTCTCAGGCTGTGGCAGGAACACTGGCCACAAAATCGGGTCAGAGAGGAAGGTAATTGATACCCAGCTCATGCAGAGAGCTGGAGTGTGCCAGGAACCGGGAGCAGCCCCCAGGAACAGCCGGCACATGATCCCCCGCAGCTGGCAGTCACCCTGACATGGGGCTCTGCCTGTCTCTGTCCCCTTGGGTGCTGCCCTGCACGTCCTCTCCTGCAAAGGGACAGTGTGACACCTTCACTGGGGGCTGTGACCGAGCAGCCAGGTCCTGTTGCTGACGAGCCCCTCCACCAGGGGTGAGGGAAGCTCTGAGTGGTCCTCCCTGCTCAGCAGGGCCAGTGATGCCCGGGGAACGGGCCGTGAGCGTCAGGCTGAGGGACCTGTGCACAGAACATGAGGAAGGAGCCAAAAAACATGAGCATCATCCCTCGATCTCCCATGGGGCTGGGGAAGGATGAGCTGTGGGTGGTGGCTGGTTCCTGAGGCTGAGGAGAGATGGGGCTGCTGGCTGGGAGAGGAAGGGGGGTGAAGCATGGGGATCCCCCATTTTGGGGAGGGGAAGCAGGGAAGGGTGAAGGTGAGTTTCAGCTGAACCCATCCCTCAGCCACCAACCCCAGGCCAGAGCATCCCTGGGATGAGGTGCTGGCATCCCCCCCTTGGGAAGCAGGAGCCAGGCTGGGAGAGCTGAGGGGGATGAGGGTGTGGGCAATCAAAAGGGCAGTGAACATCCAGACAGCTGCAAAAGGGGGAAAAAACTCCCAGTTTTCAGCAAAAGAGTTCGAGTCTTTGGAGCAGTTTGGAAATCGTCGAGATCTGGTGATCCAAGGTTCCAGTTCCTCCGAGCAGGGGCAGGTTTGGGTGCAGACCTGTGGCTGAACCCTGTCAGGAGTTTAAAGCTTCGGCCTGGGCTCTGTAAATCACCTGCAGAGGCTGTAAATCCAGCCCGGCCAGAGCTCGTGTTATCTTCTGCTTCTGCTGCTGATGCTAGCCAGTGTAAACTTTGCCGTACTTCAGAGGAAAGCTCTGCTGACAAACTCAGGCCGAAGATGAATCAACGCCCGCAGATGTGTTGTGCAGCAGCACAAACAGAGCAGCACGTGGGTGCGTGGGGCTCGATGCCATCCCAGAGCCGCCCATCCCAGCCCCGCCAGGGCAGGTTAATCGCACATCGAACCATCCCCTACTCATTCCTAGAGACCAAACTGAATGTAAAATTAACCCTTCCAGCTTTGGGGCTCTCCTTTCTCTTTCTGAGATTACTTATATTCAGGAAGGGGAAAAAAAAAACCAACATAAAAGGTTGCATGGATGTGCTGGCTCCTTTCTGCCTGCACCTGCTTCTTCCGATTGGCAGCTCCGCTTGTGTTCTTGCGCTCAGCCAATTCTTAATCAATTTAATTGGCTCCTCTCCTCATATACCACCATGTGCCCCAGCTTTGGGTGGCTGCCTAACATATGACACAGAATCAGGTGCTTTCTAGAAACCCAGCCTGACTTGTCTTGCTCTCCCTGATAATTTGGTCACTTCTTGGAAGATGCTGGTAGGTGCCTCCTGCAGGACCCTTGGTTATCTCTGCAGAGCAGTTTTGCTGAATTACCTGCTTGTTCCACCAAATCCCTTCTGTGACTGGCAGGGTTTGAAACGAGAAGGCAAGCTCAGCACGGGAGTGCATCAACCCTGCTTGGTGCTGGGTTTGACACCGTATCCTGCTTTTGATGAGGTTTATTGTCCCTTCGTGCTCTTGCTCTGTCTCCATCCTCCTGTGGCACTAACACCTGGTGTGCAGCTTCTCTGTCCTGTCCCTCCTGGGCTCTGTGCTCCTGTCTTGATCTCCATGTGTTTCTTTTCTCCATTCCCACTCATTTTCCACTAATTTTCCTTTCTGCTCTGATTGCCTTTCCAGGCCAGCTCTCAGCCTCTCCACTGCCTTTCACTCCCGTCCCTGTCCGTACCCATTACCGTCATTAACACCTTGAAGAGCTTAAGCAACACTCCCATTATTAGCCCTGCTCCTGCGCTCCCTTCAGCCTCCCAACTGCGGGTTTCTCTGTCTGCACCAGAAAATCACACCCAGGCATCAACGGGGCATTTTCAGCGCAGCTGTGCTGAAAATATGTTAGATACGAAAGGCCCCAAGGAGGGTTTTGCTTTGAACCGGTGTATCTGCAGCATCAGGCATGTGGGTCGGCTCCTGAGCACCAAGGCAGCCTGGAAGGTCATTCAAATTAGCTTCGACCTCGAGGACCAAGTGTAAAGATTTGCTGTGTTGCCTCACTCTTTCCAAAGGCAAAGAGCAAGGTGTTTTTGGAACAACACCTGAGAAGGGTGTTTGCGCTGCTGCCAACTTTTCTCCTCAAAACGCAGCTCCTCTCTTCGCTTTGTCAGGAAGATCTGAGAGCCAGAGGGAAGCTCACTCACTCTGCAAGGGCAAGGAGCTGCTTCGGAGATGCTGGTGCTTTCCAAAGAAGCTTCCCCACGTGCCAGCTCCGGAGCAGGAGACCGTTGATAAAGCCCAGCACCTCTCAGGGCAGGGGCAGATGTGTTTTTGTGGCCCTTTGGCCATGTTGGGGACATTTAGCAAAGCTCGATGCTCTGTTAGCAGGAGTGGCAGGCTCGCCCTGGCTGCCTCTCTGCTCTGTTCAGACCAGCAGGATTTTCAGCACCTCCAAATTGCTTCATCACTTTAGAAAACCTTTGCTTTTTCCCCTGTTTCCTATTCCTGGCCATTTGCCAGCTGAGTCTCAGCCCTTTCTGCTGTCCCCACTGATGGAAATACCTGTCTAGAGACCTTATACAGTGGCAAAGCTTTTGCTACCCCTTACAAAAAAATCTAAGTCTCTCTGATTATATTTTTTTGCTGTCCCCAGAGAGCCTACCCACCTCAAACAAGCCCTTGCTGTGGAGCTGAGGTCTGTCTCCTTCAGCCTGTCTGGATGGAGAGAGCTGAGGAGAGGCAGTACTTTTCCCCAGCGACTAGAAAGCCCTTGCCATGGTTGATGGAGCTATTGGGCAAGCCTCCAGCCCCCACAGACCTCCGCCCTGTGCGGCATTAGAGCATAATTTGGGCTTCACATCTCCTGGTCTCTGATGCAGGGAGATGTGGTAATTGGATGAGAGGGGTTTAATTGCCCACACTGCCGTGCTGTGGCTGCTCCTGCCTTTCCTTGCCCTTGCAAGGAGGAAAAATCAGGCCAAATGGCTTGATCCCCATGTCAGTGCTGTGCCAGCAGATGGAAGGGATGGGGTTGTTTTCACAGTGGGGGGTTGCTTCATCCCTCTGCATGCTGGAGAGCTGCCGGGGAGCAGAACTCCTTGCAGGGATGAAACAGTCAATGGTCCCCGGTCACACCCAGCATCCCCGCGCTGGGGACGGGGACGGGAATTCCCAGGCGAGGGCATGGCAGGAAGGTGATGTGTCCACGTGAGGAGCTGCTCCGGGGCATCCTGCTCAGCCCCTGCTCCCCGGGTGTCGTGCAGGAGGACCTCCCGGTTCCCCCTGCCCTGTGTTCCTCTGGCTTTGGCATTTTGATGAATTTCATGAGATCTGGTGCCAACAGCCTTCCCTTCTCCGCATGGGGTGCCTGGGTCGGGTCAGTGCTGCAGTTCATGAGACCCATCCAGGCCGTTACACCCCCAGAGCCGGTGATGCAGAGGGGGAGCCTGGCCTGGCACCGCCTTGGCCCCGCAATGAGCTCACTGTTGGAAAGTGGTTGGCTGAGGCCACCGAGGGATGGGTCACCCAGCAGAAAACTTAAGGACATGCATAAATCTTTGCAGGATCAAGGCCAGAAAATGTAATTTATCAACCCTGACCGTGCAGGCGAGTGAATGCCACGTGTGAGGAGCCGCCTTTCGCCCGCACGCCTGGGTGCGCTGGCGGGGTGCGGCGCTGCCTGCACTTTGCCTGTGGCTTTGGTAGGTCCTGGCTGCCTCCTGCGGAGCCCAACTGGCTCTTGCTGCCGCTTTCGGGGCTCCCGAGCTGCCGTGTCCGTGCAGCCTGGCAGGATGTTTCTGACAGGGCAGGTTGCTGTGCTCTGGCAAGATGAGAGGTTCGGTGGGCCAGTCGCGGAGGGGCTGTCAGGGCTTTCTGCTAAGGGCTGCATTTCCTGGACACATCAGGTGTTGTCACCACCGGCGATGAGCAGGCAGCTTTGGGCAAAGGTGCTCATGGAGCCAGGCACAGACTTCTTCCCCTGCCCAGGGCATCCCATTGCACGGTGGGTTTCAGTCCTTGATAAAAAAAAAAACATCCAGCCTTCTCCCGGGGTGGCTGTGAGGTTATTTTGAAATGCCCAATGTCTGTGAGCTCTGGGAATTGTTTCAAGCTTTGTAGGAGCGGTGAGGTGTGAGCTGTCAGCTGGGGGGGACTCCTCCCCATCCTGACAGGCTTCTCCCACACTGGGTAGGGGTGAAGTGATGCAGAGGACAACCTGCAGGGCTGTGCCATCAGCTGAGGACTCTGGGGGTGAAAAGAGGACTACTAACGCTCTTGGTCCAAGGCATCTGCCCAGGCAACCATGCTCCTCTCCCAGTCTGCTTCACCCTCACCTTTAGCCACCAAGATCTGGCAATTTGCTGCTTTACTGTGGTTTTCTCTGCTCACCTCAGCACAGCCCCTGCCAGTACACAGTGACCCAGCCTGTTTGGGCACCTTTGAAGATGCTTTTCCCAGCCCTGCAATAACCTGCTCCCCATGGGGCCACGTTTGCAGCATTGCTGCTGGGATGTCTCCTCCTGGTGCCCACAGGGGCTGGCTGGGGCAGGTCTTTGCTCCATCCCTCTGGCTTCAATCAGCCGATGCATCTCTGCAGTTTGATCTGACATCTGTAACTGGGTTTGTTGTGGGGTTTTTTTACAGCATTGACTGTGAGATTCATCACCAGGAGATTCATTGGAGACTACGACCCAACCCTGGGTAGGTGAAGTTCTCTTTACTGTTGCTTTCCCTGCTGCTCCAGCTCAGCCTGGAGACTGCACCCAGCACCGCTCCTGGCAGAGCCCACTCTGCCCCCAAACTCACTCTATTTGCTCCTCTTCCTCCTCAGCCAGACTGGCAGTGGTCAGAACCACCAGCCACTGTGGCACCTCTCTGGCTCTTGCATCCCTTTTTCCTTTTCTTTGTTTTGTTAAGGCAAAATGTGTTGGGGCAAGACATCAGCATGGCACAAGGAAGCCCAGCTGCTTCCTCATCCTGGAGCAATTTGCTGGGAAGTGACTTGTAAAGGGAAGGAGGTATCTAAGCCACTGGAGCAGTGGCTAGTGCTCTCTCGTCTTCAAGGGTTGGGGGTTTTTTGCATTTGGGTTTGAGGTTTCTGAGCACTGAACTCATGTCCCCAGAAATGACTGGCTGCTGGCTTTGCATCCTTCCGCCTAACTCCTGCTGTCACCCGTCAGGCTGAGAAATTTGGGAAGTCTCTGTGTTGCTCTAATGCAGCCGGTTCACAGGGGACTCCAGGGAAAGGCTTGGTCTGAAAAAACAACCCCACCGTTGTCCCAATCTGTCCTTTACATTCCCACTCCTCGCTTGTTATGGTGAGCAAAGTTTTTTTTTCCCCAGCGTGCAATTTGGTTTTCCTCTCTGCCTGCTGCTTCTTCCTCCTGTTGGGCTCCTCCATGTGACATGATAAGATACAGAGCCCACACAGTGAGGGTGCCTGGTGCTCCCCGGGGTCGGAGGAGCAGGAGGGTGCCTGGTTTAGCCTGCAGACGGCCCAGCCAAGCGGGTTGCTGCCCTGTGGCGCGCGGCACACGAAGGCTGGTGCGACTGACGCGCTCCATCTGTACGGCGCGAGGCGTCCCGTCGAGCCCGCTGTGCCCAGAGTGGTTGCTAAGCAGAGTGCCAGCTGCTTTTATTGCCTGATGATATTAGTGAAGCTTGAAGAGGTTCTGTGCTGCAGAGCTGCCCCGCTGCATGCCTCGCAGCCGCCCGCTTTGCTTGGTTAGAAAGGAGCCACTGCCCTGCTGCTTCGGAGTAGGAGTTCAAGGCCACCTGGCGTAGGACAATGAGCAGGGTCTCTGAACAAAACCAGCTTTTTGTACCCTCCTGCTGAGCCCCTCTTCCTCTGCAGAAGCATCACTCCGTGAACCCTTTTTGCTCTGACACTTTGCTCACCATTGCCCTTTTATTTCCAGCAAGGCGAAAGCTGGCTGGGTGCTGGCCGGGGCTCCCTGCTGCCCTTTGGCAGTGCTGGGCTCGGTGCCGTGGGCACAGGACTGCCCTTCCCAGGTGTGAGAGGACAGGCTGGGGGCCAGTTCAGGATGTGGACTCCAAATGGAGGCCACGTGTGCTGTGGGGTGCAGCAGGCGAAAATCAATGTCTCCAGCACGGCTTGCATTGAGACCAGCTGGGTTGTCATTCACTACCTGGAGGCTTCTCTCAAACACACTTTTCTGTCTGTCCCTCTTCAGAAATGATTTATAGACACATGGCTGTCATTGACGGGGAGATGGTACACTTCGAGATCCTCGATACGGCAGGACAGGTGAGCTCACCCTCTCGTAGCTGCCTGGCCCTGGAAAATACCATCGGGGAAGCGCAGCTCGCTGTTGAAGGCAACCCCTGCTCTTCCCTCGGCCTCAATCTGTTGTATCCAAAATACTGCCCAAGATGTGTTTATCTCAGAAAAAGGATGTTCAGAAGAATTTATGTCTGTCTAACATCAGAGTGTGGCTTCAGCTGAATATTTCTCCATCCCCCTTACTGGTGTGTGTTGCGGCTCTGCTCCTCGCACTGGCAGGGACTCGGCTCAGGGGAGCGGGAGGGTGCTGGACTGAAGGAACCACCCAGCACCAGGACTGCGGGTGATGGAGAGCCCTGCGCTGGCCTCCCACCCAGCAACAGCCCTGCCTTTGCTTACCCACTTTTACTCTCCCCTCATCCACACTGGGATGGGGCTGATTGCTCTCTCTATCCGTCATTTTGCCCAACCCATCAAATTCCTGTCCTGGGCTACCTGTGCTGCTTTGCAAGTCACTGCTGTGTGCAAGCCCAAGGCCAAAAACCCTTCAGAGAGATGGTGATGGGGGAGGTTTTCTAGGTTGCACCCAGCACTGTTGGTATTTAGGAGATGTTGAGGCTTCTGGTGTTGATCGGAGCTTGTCCACCCCACAGGAGGAGGATTCCCTGCAGATAGAGGAGAAGATCAAGTGGGGCGATGGCTTCGCAGTGGTCTACTCGGTGACGGATAGGTGCAGCTTCGATGAGGTGATGCGGCTGTGCTTCCTCATCAACCACATCCACGCGAGCCCCAGGCGGAGCAGCGGGAGCGAGCAGCCACCCGTGGTCATCGTGGGCAACAAGAAGGACTTGCAGTTCGACAGGATGGTGTCCACCGAGGATGGCGAAAACCTCTCTAAAGCTTTGAAGCTTCCTTTCTACGAGATCTCTACCCGGGACAGCTATGAAGAGACTGTGGCGGTGTTCAACACCCTCTACCAGGAGCTCATGAGACAGGGGCATTTCTCCCCGGGCTCCTTCAAGAGGAGGACAGTGTCGAAGCTGATGGAGAAGATCCCAAGGATGCAAGCCAGCTCCACCTTGAACTCAGCAGGCCGGAGCCTCAGCTTTAACTCTTTCAGGGACTACATCCCTGAGTGAGCATCCCCAGTGTGGAGGCGAGAGCGACGGCCAAGCCGGGACGGAGGGACAGGTTATCCCGCTGCGAGGGTGCCCGCTGCTGCCGCCCCAGGGCTGAGGGACAGCTCGTGAAGCTCCCAGGAGGGGATGGTTAAGAGGTGGAGAGGGGAGGATTGGGGTACAACAGCCTTTTAAAGCCTGTAGGTTTTTACAAATGGGATTTATGTCAGCAGGGAAGATGTTTTTTTGTCCATCTTACACCTTTGCTCCCTCTTCCTCCTCCTGCACGGCTGAAGTCAGTAGTGGAGGTGGTTTGCAGTGACTTCAGTAGTGTTGGGTCAACGCTTGGGGGCTCGGAAGTGTTTTGGCGGGGATCAGACCCAGCACAGACACATCTGTAGGTGTTTTCCTTCTCCTCTAAGACAGCTTGCTGGGTCTGTTAGTGCCCCAAAGTGTGCACCTACAACACTGGGGTGTTCCCAAGGGTCACGCTGGCTCCCAGGCTGTCGTCAGCCATCGCTCTCCCAGGGAAAACAGTTGTTGCCTCTGCTGCTCCGTGTTGCTGGTGGGTAAAGTCCCCTGCCTGCTCAAACCCTGGGTGGCGGAGGGCTGTGTGCCCCTCTGCCTCCGCTGCGGTCCTCCCCAGAGGCCCAGCCCAGCCAGGCTGCCCATCCACAGACACCAGTGTCCATCTGTTGGAGCCTGGGGCTGCATTTCCATCCCAGTTTTCCTCTGGGTTTGTGACCTGAAGCCGTGGCACAGGGGCAGACCCCACGTCCCCCCACCTGCGGAGGAGCTGCAAGGCCCCAGCATTGCTACAGCCCTTCTCCCCCCATGCCTGCTCACAGGCTGGCACCAAGGGCGTGCTTAAAGCTGAACTACAGATCTGTTTCCAGTGAGGGGAAAAAAGCCTGTTAATCCCTGGCTTTTCTAAAAAATTTTTTTTTAATATTTGGCACACTCTAATAACACTGTAAATAAGATCCTGGGCAAAGGGCAGTGATGATGGCAAATGCTGTTTCTCCATCCCAGGCTGAAGGCACCACATGCTTGACATTTCTGCCCCTTCTCTTACATCTCCATCCCACTCAGGGCAGCCCATCTGCAGGCAGAGGCAGATCAAACAGACTGCATCTCTGACGCACAACAAAACCTCAGGCTAAGGTCACACTCCTCCATCCCAGAGGAGCAGCATTCCCGGGGCAGTTTCTCCCATTCTGCAGCACCAGCAGAACTGCTGGGTGCCAGTTTGAAGCACAGATGCAGCCTAGCTGATACCAGGAGATGGAAATGATGCTCCTAGCAGGGACCCCCCTTGTCTGCTTATTAATTGCCCCGTCCCCACAGGGAAAATCACCGTGGCCTGAGAGTTTGTCTTTTTGCACAGAGACAGGGCAGCAAAGGCACAGAAATGAGCAGGGCGTGGAGCTAGCAGCATCTTCTCCCTGTGGCATTGTCTCCCTCCCTCCCTCCCGGTGGACATGCTGGGAGACCCACAGTGCAATGTGCCCGTGTGCCCCCCCACCGTGACCCATTGCATTGTCTGCTGCTGCATCCTGTGACAATAAAAGCCAAGTTCGCAAACACCTGTGAAGCTCTCGTGCCTGCGAGCGTGGGGAGGGGGTCGTCAGATCCTGCTATTGCCCTCTCAGGGGGCCTGTAGCAAAGGGGTGCACGGCTGGGAATACACCCTTTAAATTAGGGCCAGGTGTCTCCCTCACCTTCTGCTCAAGCCCCAGCACCTCGTGCCTGGCTCCCTCCACCTCTCAGCAAGGGGGAAGCAGCAGGCAGAGATGCATGCATGGGGAGTGGAGCCAGCGGGGCTTCCTCGGGAGCATCCCAGCCTGGGGAATGGGCTTATCCCCCCTCCCCTCGTGCTGCACAACCCCACGGACACCTCTTCCCCTCTTATAGCTCCCCAAGATGTTTCCCGCAGCTGCTTGCATCCAGCCAAGGGCTTTCTCTACAAGGGTTTCATTAAATCCCATCTTTGCTCATATACCCACATCCTTCCCGTGGGGTGAAAATAAACCCCGTCGAGAGGCTGGGCCAAGAGAGCAATTTGGGATGGCTCCTTTTCAGCATCTTAATTAAAACCCTGAATGCCAGCAATGGGAAATGCCGCTGGGGGCTGCTGCTTGTGGCTCTGGGTCCGGCAAGAGCAGAACTGGGGCCTTTAAAGCCTTGGGGAGCTGGCCAAGGGGAAGCGAGGGCTGCAGGGTTTTTTTGTTTGTTTTAATTTTAGTTTTTTTTATGGCATTCCCAAGGAAGCTGAATGCTGTGAGCTGGGCTCAGGGTTTTGTGGTCTGGCAGCTGGAGTGGGTGTTTGCTGCCTGGCTGCTCAGGGATGGCTGGAAAAGAGCCGCTTTGGGGAGGTGCTGATCCAGCTCCGCACCCCAGGGACCCGGGTCAGCTGAGAGCCAGCCCGACCACGAAGATGCTGGGATGGGAGGGAAGAGCCTGGCAGCTACAAAGACGTAGACTTCAGTATCGCTCGCTGACCCCAAACCCAGCAGCTTGGGGCTGTGTGAATGGTCCAGCTCAAGAGGGATTAAAAACCCACCGGGATGTGGAATGTGTGCTCGAGCCTTTCCCCACGCCACAGAGGCTTTGGGTGCTTTCAGGCACGTTGCTTAAACCCCTGATGTCCCCAAGGCTCATCCAAGAGACTGTGTTCCCTTGCTGGCTGGAGCTCCAGGCCGATGCCATGCCAGGCAGGGCAGAAGCCCACGTTATTTAGCGTGAATTATTCAAAATGATGAATGAGAGAGGACCAGCTTGCGAGCAGGAAGCGTGGCCAGGCACCGGGAACAGCATCCCTCAGCGCTCTGGGTCTCTGGGAACAGAGGAGCACTCGGCACAGCGGGGATCACTGTCCTGGGTTAACCCCAGTGCTTTTTTATAGCACGAGGAATTCAGAAGATTTTCAGCCAAAAGCCTGGTGCGGTCGCTGCCCGCCTTTCAGCCCGCAGCCCCCTTGCCGAGGCCAGGAGGCAGCTTAGCCTTGCTCGCCTGCTATAATTAGCAAGAAACCTCATTAGTATCAGGCTCAGCTGCTTTCAGAGAGGCCGGGGGGAGCTTGTCAGGGGTGCTAATTGCTGAAAGCCTATAGTTGTTCTCCTGGGGGTGGTTCCCCTCTCAGGTACAAAATCTTGGGGGTGCCACATCCATCCCATGCAGGAAAAGTCTTGGGGTGTTGGTGTCCCTCTGTGGGGACCTAGGGATTAAAGGTACCTTGAGGGTGATGCTCTGGAGCAGCCCTGTAAAGCCTAAATCCCTGTGGTGGGAGCTCTGCAGGGCTCAGGCAAAAAAAGGAGGAAGAAGGAGTTCTCTGCCTTCCTCAGAGCAGAGCCTGCAGCTTTAGAGGTGTAGGGAGGTAGGTTAAACCCTAGAGAGGAGCCCCCCAGACCTTTGTTTTTCAGCACCTTGGAGGTGCTTGGTTCTGTGGGGGCCTACAACCTCCTCCTTGCTGAGAAGGGCGATGTCATTAAAATAACACTCAGGAGGATTTTTGGGGTGGAAGCCTGGGCTGTGGGGAGGGAGGGCTCTGGCTTGGTTTGCCTCAGAGACATCAAGCAAGGCACCTGGCCCTGTGGAGGACCAGGGTTGCTTAATAACCCACCCAGGAAAGCAAGACTGGTAGAGCTGGGGTATCTTGTACTGACCCTCCGGGCACATGTTCCTGTGTGGTGTTGGAAAATGCCACCCCTCTGGGGACACGCAGGGGTTGTCCGGCACCTGGGGACCATCCATCCTTTTGAGCCCCGTGTCTGGGCTGTGGTGGCTCAGCTCCATGGAGAGAAGTTGAAGAGTTTTGGTGTCGTCATCCAAAAGGCATCTCCAGGGCGGTGATTTCATTTGGCGAGTGTGTAGGTTGCAAATCTGCTTACCAGATTTCTGGGAAGCTTGGAAGAGGCAAATGAAACAGAAACATCCTTCCCAAAAGCTTCCTCTCCTGCCAGTCACCACCAGCAGCTCCCCAGCATGCCAAGCCGCCTCATATCAACCCTTAACCCCATCTGCAAAAGCTTCACTGAAGAAACAAGGTGTGTGTTGGGCTGAGGATGATATGTAAATTTTTTTTTCTCCTCCATTGCACTCTGAGTCCTCCTGAGGGAGATGGGGCAGGAGCGATTTGTGCTGATGCTCAAGTCCTTACGGTACCTGCTCCTCTGCTCGCGCACCCCACCTGGTTTTTGGGATCTTCCCCAAAAACTAAGCCAGGTATGAGGCTGGGACTCAACTCCAGCAGCCAAAACTTTACCCAGAAAGATAAAACTGTGCTTAGGTGGGGATGCGCTGACTTCAGTGGGAGGTGTGAGCACCTCATAGCAAGGGGCACAGAGTAACCCTACGAGGTGGGGTGGAGCTGCTTTCTCTTTGCAGCTGCAGCCTTTATCATCAATCTTGTGCTTCTTTTTGTTTTTAATAAAACATAGAGGCTTTGGGCTTTTTGAAGGCTTTTCTTGGAGGAGCAGTGTGTGGATCTGGCCTGCCGCAGCCCCAAACCAGCTCCTGGGGGTGAAGGGGAGAGCAGAGCTGCCAGTGGCATATTCCAAGTAGGTGCTGCCTTAAGACACTCAAAATAAGTGCAGCCTCTCCAATGAACTGCTTTGATTTAAACTCAGGGCAGAGAAATTGAGATTATCTGGATGTTGCAATGTTTCATGGCTTTAAGATGCCCTTTCTGGGTGCCTGGGGGGCCCTGAGTCTGGGGTTACTGGAGGGCAAGTGCCCCATAAAGGTGGTTTTCCTGGGCACAGTGGGATCCTCTCCCCCAAACTAGCAATTTTAGGTGAGTCTTGTGCCATCAGTGTGTTGAGCACATGGGCTTGGTCCCTGCCACCTTGGGCGTCCCCTAAATATCAGGCTTTGCCCGGAGTGAGCGGGGGGACAAAGTGGTACATGAGGGCCATTTCCATCCCATCAGCACCAACCAGTGTTGGCAGCCGGAGCCTGCGACTTTCCAGCTGCTTCAAACAGCTGCTGTGACACATCGGCGATAATTCTGGGGAGCTGTATACCTGTGGGTTGCTCCGTGCTGTCCCCCAGCCCACCCTCTGCCCAAAAACCTGCTGCTTGGTGTAAGACCACACCTAAAGCTCAGACGGGCTCTGGATGGATGCAAACGAGTTCATGCATCTGGGTGTTCCCGGTTCAGACTGACACGAAGGGCAGGGCATGGGGAAGAGACAATAGTCCCGAGTGGTTGTTTCCAACTGCTGCTACTATTTTTATGCCCACGTTTTCAACATGAGTCCTGCTGCTCCTTTTATTGCCATTATAAATAGCTGCAAAGTTGCCTGGGAGTTCATGGAAATTTGGGATCGCTTTCCAGGGGGAAATCTGTGGCTGAGATTTAGGGCCTTCAGGAGCTCTGTCACCCTCTTTTCTTTTAAACTGCTCAGTGGCTCAGCTCTGATGGGGCTCTACAAGGTATTGAGAATTTCAGCACAGCCAAAGGATTTTGCTGGCCCTGAAAGGAAAAGCTGGGAACTGCAACGGGAAGAAAAGCAACAGGAAAACCCCCATGGCAGTGCATCAGAAGGTTTGTCCCCGAGTTTGGGTTTTTGAGGTGTTGCCTCCAGGTGAGGCAGCAGCAGATAAACTACGGGGAGGGACAGTGGTGTGGGGGTAAGGGCAGGACGACAGGTACATCCATGCTGTCAAGCTCCAGGCAGTCTGCTTTGGCTCATCACTGTATCTCCTGGCTTGTATATATAATGGAAAAAAATGGCTTTTTGGGTGTAGGCTTTTAAGGTAACTTAGGATCCATCCCCACAGTGAGAGCTTGGCCAGAGCCTGGAGGATGAGGCTGCTCCCTGCTAGGGAAAATCAAGGAGAGACGCCAAGTCCTGGAGGCTCCCACCAGTTTTCTTTTGTTCTTGGCCAACCCACACAACTTTTTTTTAAATAATAATGTTTAAAAAAAACCCAAACAAACATCCCCAGTGTAGGCAGGGCGTACTGCTGGGAAGCTGCGGCTGTAATCACTGGCACTTTGAGGCTGTAGGAAAATATTGATGGTAAGGGCTGGTCCTCTCCAAGTGCAACCCCGGGCTTCTCACCTCTGTTCACCTATGTGGAAAACCCTCGTGGCTGTCTGCACTCTCTGCTTTTTCAGCCAGCCTCAAAGGTAACGATAGGATTTTAAAAGGATGCTGTATGCAATCTACAGGGCATGCTGCAAAGGAAGCCTTTGTTTTTGGCTACTGATCCTAAATCCTAAGGGGAATAAACCTTAGTCCCTGTCTTCTGGGTGTTTCACCAAAAAGCTTTGATTCCTGAGCTCTGTTTTTTGACACTGGTGGGATTAGTGTATTTCCAGCCACCCACCCCATCCTTCCCCTGGACACCAGCAGCCCAAAGGAGTTGCATCCCACCTACCCTGGCAAAAGCCCTCGAGGGTTTGTGAATTGAAGCCCTTCGGGGTGGCACACAGGCCCCTTGGCATCCATGGGGCCTGGATAGCCCGGTTGGGCATAAAAAGGGAAACTCTTGGTCTTTCCAAACCTGCAAAGTCAGGAATGGGGAAAGATGTCCCATTTTGTGGTGGAAGAGACTCCTCCTTTAATTTTTTTGTAAAAAAAGTTAAAAAATAAAAAAATCCTGTAAGACAAGGGGCAGGTTGCCTTGCTGGAAACCAGGCGAACCACCCCAAAATGTTTTTTCTCCTGTGACCGGTCAAGGGGAAGTGGTTTTTCTTGGCAGCTTGAGGAAGACTCATGGAGGCGAAGCGGGTCTTCAGGCTGTTTGTGGTGGGTAGGAATATTGGTAAAACCATTCCTTCACCCCCCTCAAAAAAGGAGCTGAGGAGGGGGTTCAGCCCCAGATCCCCTGCACAGCTGCCTACTTGCAGAGCTGCAGGGGGGGCGGGGGCTAATTTGGCAAAATATTGAGTTGCTGAAACCTCTGGCAGGATTTTCCCCTGGTATGAGAGGAAGATTCAAGCAGTGTCTTAAGAAAAGCTTTTAAAAAAATTAATCCACTGTTTCCCTGGGATCCCACCTGGGTGCAGCACACCACACCACCCCCCCCACCCCCCC